TACATACATACATACATGCACACCTGCCATGCAGGGTCCGCGGATGTTGCCAAGTGGGAGCCAAGATATGCATGTATGTTCATTGAAGTTCGATGGAGAACTGTTTTTGCAGGAGGCATTCTTCCAACAACTTATGCAAATCCTGGCTGACTAACTTGAGGCTCTTCCGCCGAGAGGATGCCTTCGTAACCCCGAAGCTGAGGGGCGAGGCTGCGGGGCAAGAGTTTCTGTGACAACGTGATACTTGAGTAGCGCACGGTCGTTTTGACAGGAGGTTCAAGGCTTCTCTGCTTCAGTCAACATGCCCGACCTGAGCAGTTCCAAATGGTTTCGGTGCCAGCGTCAGCTGTTGTTTCATGTCCTCACAGTTTTCGATGAGCATACCTTGCGCGCAGTGAGTCTTGGAGAACCTTCTCGGAGAAGTGAAGACACAGGGCTGGCGGGCAATGGGCGTGGCTAGATTTGCGAACTTCATTTTCTGTACTGGTTCAAAAGATCGGAGTCTTAAGGCATGCTTTCCAGATTCTGTCTGCACTTCTCAACAATCGGCAAGCCAAAACACGGTAGTCTGGATCCTTGACAGCAGGATTCTTTCCATCAGCAGCAGGTGTTCTGCTCGCGGTTGTTCTTTGGCATATCTACCGCTGTTGGGCAACATACCTCTTGTGACATGGGCTGCTGCATCCAACCCTTATGCGGCCCATGCCAGACTAAAAGCTGCAGGATACTGTGCTGTTGCACCTGAGCCGAAAGGGCTCAAGGAAGACCGAGACTTGATAGTGCAGGCCGCAGCAACGATGGCCGCGGCCCTCCTGGCAGCCAGCGTCGCAGCTCCCGGACCGGCCCAGGTCCATCCGAATCTCTTTTGTGCTGCAAGCACTTCCGATTCTTGTGCTTTTGGAGATGTGTCGGTGGGCGACTTTCGGGGGTGGCATGTGCAAGGACGGCGTTCCAATCCAGAACCATCGGTTCAGCTGGTGAATTGCAATAATGCACAACCTTGATGAACGATGTCCTTGAGGAGAGTGACGTGTGAATACATCAAGTGTACTGCGCCCACCAGGGCATCTCGCAGACTTCCCGGTTTGCGCACGACTGCCACTTGCAGTGGACGGCTTGCTCCAGTTTACACCACCAACTCTTCGGTGGTGGCCCAAACCGGTGCTAGTGTCTCCCCTCACCCGAGTCGACGACACGGAGCCCTGCGCTGAATTTGACAAAACCTCCGCTGAGCCACAAAATGCCACAAAACCACGACGATGCGTGATCCAGCCCGATCCAAAAGCATCGGAGGCGGAGAGCCCGAAGCTGTCCTTCTTCGGCCTCGGAGGTTCGGCCGGGGTTATGGGAAGGACCTTCGGAGCGTTCCGGAGCTTTGACATTCCAGCACGCCTCGACTTCGAGCTCATAAACCTGTTTCGCGAACACCCATGGCAGTCCTTTCTGTAGATCAAATCCCTGCAAGTAACTGCGTCCTCTGCAGATTTTTGACGGGATCGCTACTAGCAATCAGGGCTTCCATACTTTAATTTAATGTGGAACTCATACCACGCCCGCACGGCAGGGAATCTGCCTGCAACTCACAATTATGTGATGAGCGCCACACCTTTCCGTCTACAATTTAAGGTTGTATGCTATTGCCACTGGACCGGGCACATGGAAGTTGTGTTCCTGAGAAGAAGCAATGCCGCTTTGACGAGTCGCGAGTATCCGACACGACACTCAGGCGGCGTCTCCGATGTCTACAACCAGAACGACAACCCGGTCAACCCGTACTCGCAGTTCAGTGACCTTGCTCTTTCCATGTTTTTGCGTTTTGTAGGCAGGTGATGCTGAAGTCACTGAGCAGCAATTGCAACCTGCAGAGTTCTGGGATGTCCCGGGCTTCGCGACCGGGATGAACCGTCCCCGGAGCAAAGGCGAGGTCGGAGACNNGAGTCCGTCTACAAGGCCCGCACCGACCAGGAGGCACCAGTGGACCAGGGGCGCTTCTGGGCCCGGGGCTCCTCTCTTGCGAATGTTGTGCTGCAGCTGTCGACATCTCTTCAGTCCGGGAAGGCCGACTTGAGACTTGAAAATCATCGAAGTTTTCTCGGAGGTCGCACGCAGAAAGAAGGCGCTCACGAACTCCTTCGAGCGCTTCGACAAGACCGCCGTGCCTTAGCGTTGACTTGGGGCTCTAGTGAGTAAACGACATCGATATCAAGCAAGTCTTATGCTCCGTGTGTTGATATCTGTGTGCGGTGGAATCGCATCCCCACCCTCGGTACAGTATCGAGCCACGGCCCCCTCCTCATACCACATTACCCTACCCAACTTTCTCAAGTAATGCCAAAACTACATTGAACCGGGTCATGTCATGATAAAGTCGTGATCATTTGCTTGTATCCGGTTCTTCTACGATTCGCCACGTACTCAACAATCCTCCGAATCAGACTGTAGATGTTGTTGTCTGCAATTCATATCTTGGCCTCGTGATGCAGTATGATTTGTCGCAAGATTATTCAGGTATGACGCATTGGGTTACACAATCTTGAGGTAGCGCTTGGCGGACTGTACTACATTTTGCCAAGACCTCCGATCAGCGACAGAGCACCTTGACGACAATGACTTCCACGACGACCACCGCAACCGCGACGAACACTTTGACCAAGACGATCGCGACGACCACCAGGAGACGACGAAGAACGACCACCAGGAGACCCCCAAGGGAACCAAGAGACCACCAGGAAACAGGCAGGAGACCACCCACGTACAGTACCACCAGGACCAGAAGACCGTGAGGAGACCACTGCCATAATGCTTTCCTCCAGCCCGAGAACATGTCAGATTCTCAGTCTTAGGCTGGCGTATTGTCCCCAATCGGAAACTTCCTAGTAGTTTGTGGCCTCTACACTCTAAGTCGGGCAAACCCCCCAACGAATTGAATCAATTGCCCGACCTGGAGGCCAATTCTAATGCCAAACAAGAGTCAATGAGCCAGAAAGACACCATAAGCAGAAAGCCCGAAATCCTCGACCGCATCTGCGAACTCGTGAAGCAGCATTGGATACAGTAGTGGCAGTTGTGAGAGCCCACAGCATTAACACCAACCAGGCCCTACAAGCCACCCCAGTTCTTACAAATCCATCTGGCAGCCCTCGATGTTGCCAGTTTTACATCAAGACGAAGCAGTCGCAGCAGCTGACCTCCAACCTCCAGGAGGCTGCTGGCTTCAAGCAGGACCGGGCTCATCTCGCAAAGCCGAGTTGTCGAGGCTTCGAGTAACTGGGGCGGGGTTTTTCACGCGACTTAACATTTTGAGGGTTGTTGCTTCGTAAGCAGAAGTAGCGGTAGTTGAACGGATTGAGGTTTGGGGCGTACGATTCAATGTAGCTGTACACGGCCTTTAGAGCACTGCAGGTTGCAGGTGTTTGGGTATGAAATTCCGGCTGCAGTGGTTCAGGTCCGGGGTCTGTGAGCATCTTCATCGTACTATGGTTGCTACGGCTTTCGGGCTTGTTGTCTGGAGTTCAATCTGGTTGTAATAATATACGTATTGCGACATTAGTGGCGTGTGGGTGTCACTGCTGTGGTTTGTACATTTGCCCGTCCACCCGCTCTCAACCAAGGTCAGTTCCAAGCAAATCCGATGCCCCTGAGCTCCGACACCAGGAAACCTTACCACTATGCCTCTGTAACCCTTTGAATCGCTGGTGTGGTAAGGTAAAAGCGAGCTGCAACACAGCACAAACAGACCAGAGTACCGGTCGCAGAGGGCGGCAAAAATGTAGAAACAAGCACAGGGACTACTACACTACATGCTTCAGGAGCAGAACCAGGCAAACTCCAACTCGCATTAACACTTCAGCAGGACATGGTGTACTTCTCTGGCGCGGAAGGTTCTCCGGCTTACAACAAGGCCCGAGAATTCTCCCAGAAGATCTCCACCGTGGGTGTGGATGGCCGCAACAAGGAGTCTTGGCTCTTGCATGGGGTGGGCGGGGAGAGGGGTAGGGTCGGTGTCATCACCCTTGTTTGTACAAAAAGCGCCTGCCGCCCGACAGCATGGCTCTCTCATGTACGTGAGCACATACACGCACGTAGACATGTGTACAGCTGCACAAATACACCGTGTTGAAGATGCTCGACAGCATCGACATCTCGTGGCTCCGAGGAGTGGGGACGAGCCTCCCAGGACTTCGAGGCCGCAAAGGAGCTGCTGAAGGCCCTTGGGCGCAATTGGAGCCGGGTTTGGCGATTTGTGTGAGGATCGGGCATAGGTGTGAAGAGTCTCAGGGTCGGTCGGAAGGTATTCCGGTCGAATTCCGTCGCCGTGTTCTTGCTGAAGCATGGCTGCGATCATGGCACCATTTCAGCAGTGGGGTTTCGCAGCCCAGGAGTGGAAGGAGCTCGTGAAGTTCTGAGCTGGAATGGCCCCGTAGGTTTTTGAAGCCATGTGACATACAGTCCCAGGTAGATCCTCGACGATGAACAAGCGCCCTCAAAGCGGGATCAGCTATCGCTTTGTTTTTGGCGGACGAAGACGCCTGCAGCAACCGCGTGGAGATGTGGGTAGGGATCACCGCAATCCCAGAGCACAAAGTCGACCTGCGCAGCATCGACGTGATCCCCAATTACCGAAAGCCCTGAAGGTGCTTTGTATCCAAGGCACCGTTCCCGCAACCCGTCGCCCTCCAAGCCCTGCATCCCGTGATGGATTCAGCTTTGCATTGGTTCCGCTTTGGGCGCCATTTCAACTGTGCTTATACTACATACTATACAGCTTTGTCATGTGTGAACTTTCGAGCTTTGGGCTGTTACTCCTTCAGCACCCCTGATAGCCTCGGAAGGCCTGTGTGGCATGTAGATCCTCAGGAGGGAGGGAAGCCGCTTTTGGCGCAAATCTCTGGAGAAACCAGATTCAGATGCCCCACCGCTCCCGCCATCCTAGTCGATTTGGCAGGAACGTGGATCCTGGGCGTGACCCCCTGCTGCCGAATGTCTGGGCCCTCGCTGGGAATTCAGCAGTCATCTACTATTGCAAAGTTTTAATCCACTCGGAACCGGGTGCCCGTACGTACAGTAAAACACCGTCTCCACCACCATTAAATTATACAGAGAAGATGACCCAAGAGCACGACCATATGTGGCGCCCACACAATAGCACCCAGAACCTTGGTTGACTGCCTGTACATCGCGGATTTAGCTTGAAATTGTAAGTCCACCATCTTCAACGCCCGCTTATATACTATTTAATCCATGGATGTGGATGCGACAAGAGAGCAACACGGAATGCCCCGTGTTCTTTCTCAGATAACCATCGGTGTCAACTACGGCCTTTCCACGGGCACATTTCGAGGCCTGGCAATCCAATCGACTATTATCGGTGCACCTACTTCCTGGCTTACCGGTGGATGTGACTTCCAGGTACAGTTCACAACCCCATGCCGGTGCCATTTATCGGGTGTGGAAAGTGCAACTTGATTCACGGTTCCCCGTGATCTTACAGAGACGGTTCTGCAAGCAGTTCAACGGGAATGCCAGATGCTGTGTTGCTGTCAGGCAGGTTAGCGATGCCAGCAAAGAATGCTTAGACAAAGAGGCCAAGCACCGTATTATCCAAACGGATAGCCTCCCGGTTTTGGCAGCAGGGTGGGTGACCTGAGTACTCTGGAGCTTGGTAGGCTGGCGCCCGATCTTCTTTGCAGCGGCCTCGCCACATGCAGAGGTCCTCATTCTTACTGCACTGTGCGAGTTCTTACGAGTGTAGATCGTACTTTCGTGGAGCAGCATCTGCAGTTCTGTCGCAAACTCTTTCAGGAGACGGCAGTTGAAGCTGCTGAACTTTTGGTGGAGGCGGGTGCTGTTCCCTTGACGATCTCCACCTGCAGTGCGGCCAGGTTTGTTAGCCAAGGCAGATGTTACTCGTACCGCCATGTCAGCACATTCTAGAACAGTGAGCGAAGTACCGAAGTTTACATTGCATATGAAACAAGTCAAGCATTTCACTCCCAGAGTTGTGAAAGCCGGAGGTAGAGGAACTAGGAGAAGAGCGAAAACTGTTGTTATGTGTGTCTCAAGCATTTCCAAAAGAGACTTCTCGAACCTGATTCTTGCATGGTTCCTTGCATATCTTGCAAGGGCTTGGGTAACTAAGACCCTTAGCTTCGGACTAGCTGCACGCTGCATACAGCTCTCATGCAGAAGTTACTTGCAGCCTGGAGCTTGGGCTTTGGTTACACCGTACTACACATGCGCAAGAGCTGACACAATCCAACACAGAATGCCGCAGAATGCCAACATCCCCTCATTTCCTCGGCATCAGTGCAAATTCCCATGGCACTGGCCTTCCCCATCGACCTCTGGGGCGCTTGCGCTGCAGCGTGTGCGGCCAGGCAGCTCCAAGGCTCCGGCGGTCGGACTCTGCAGAGCTCGTGCATACCTAGTTAAGCCTCTCTGCCGGCCACAGTACTACTACCGGAAGCATGCCAGTCACTGCCTTGCAGAGTTGATGCACCGAGCTGGGAAGCTGATTTACACATGCTTAGCTTGGCCCCGTGCCTGACAGCGTCCCTGATTGCAGCAGCTGCGGCATTTTAGAGACCTCATGAGGGTCTACTTTGATGTTTATCTTCGATGCCCTGCGCAAAGCGGCAGGTGGCTTTGTGCTTCAAGGAGCTCCTCAGCACGTTCCTTGGCGTGGGGGGATCCGCTTGTAGAACCGTGGTACATACATGCTGAAGACAAGTCAAGTGACAAGAAGTTTGCTGTACCTGTACTTGTTTATCTGCGACGACCCTGACGGTTGACTGGCAAATATATTGTAGCTGTGGACTCTTGTGTTCTCACTCTCCGCTTAGTCTCCAGTCCCTGGGCATGGCGGCCAAGAGTATGGGTGAGAACGGGGTTTGTCTGGAAGCTGCCTTTGCCAGTTGGCTTTTTGGGCCATTCTTCGTGAGAGCACCCATGGCTGCTCAAATCCTTCCCGTTGGTTGACCTTGTAAGGAGTTGAACCGCTATTTTGTGGTCCGGCATTTGGGCGCCGCTTGGTGCTTCCAGAGCCCATCGAGAATCGGCGAATCCAAGCACGCGGAGATCCTGACAACCGACAGCCAGGAGGGGCCCTGAAAATGGCCTTTGCACTTGCATTCCGTGGTTCTTAACAAATCCCTACACAGAATTGGAGGAGAGCGACAACTCCTACGACTTCTGCCTCCGGGCCCACCACACCGCGCGTGATGGGTGCAAGGAGAAGTGCTCCAGAGCGTTCCCGCTCAGGCCTTTGAAACCTGTCTGACATTGCATCCTACCTTGGATCCCAGGGGTGTGGTACGTATGTCTTATACTGCTTTGAAACCTTTCATAGGCCGGATCAGAATGCAGTATTCACGTTTTTTAGAGCCCGTCGGAGTCTCGATATCCCAGATCGTGCAAGATCACTCAGACCACCTCCTCGCTCCCAGGAAGGAGCTGTTGGATCCCCGGAGTTTGACTTTCGGTGGCCAGTGGGTGGAGGCAGAGCTCCCGGATTCCATCTCTGTCACCATGCTCGGTTGGCCGAGAGACTTTTGGGAGCGGCCCTGGGCTGCCTGTGCGGAAGATTCTCGAAAAAACTCCGGGGCCCCACGCTGCGGCACTATAAGGTTCATATATAAAACAACCCACACTGTCTCCTGAACTCCGGCGCACCGCTGCAGTTTTGCTTGGACTCAAAGCCTTTAAACCCTTAAGGACCCTCTTCCTCGCAGCTCTGCTCGCAGCTCTGCTGGCTCTGCTCGCATACTCCGACGAAGGCGACCTCGGGTCCCGGACGTGTCGCCTGGGCTAAAGCTCAGTGGCTCTAAAGTAGCTGCAGTTGTACTCGTCTTCTCGTCTTAGTCTTACTGTAAGTATTTCGACTATCCCCAACATTCTGTGGTACTCTCGTTCTCTGTTTATGATTCGCTTATTGCTCTGACCGAGGCTTGTGCACGAGCGGGATGAGAAGATGCTTGGACACAGGTTTAGAAAGCCTGTCCGGCACTTCCTGGCGGCATATCTGACGTCGGCTATAAAGCTTTGGGTGATGCCTTTTGAAGGACCTCGCGAGCAGTTGCTCAAGACTCAGACCTGTCAAGCTCTAGCCCACCTAGGCCGAGCATAGGACATCACCCATGAGCCCGCAAACCATGAGACTCAGGAATGAGGTGTTTCGGTTTCCGAATGCATTGGGCCGCTTCCGAGACTCCGGGCTGGACTACCACGGCGCTGTTTTGCAGCTTGCCTTGAGCAGGACGGAAGGAGAGTTGCCAAGATGAGTAGCACAAAGAGTGCAAGCCTCAGGTACGTGCACGCTGGTGAAGTCATCGACATCTGGCCTCCGCTTTTTCTCCGCCACTACAGCAACACAAAGGAGTGCCTTGGGAGCAGCGTTTGTGCTGAGCCGTTTGACATGACAAGAACCATGCCTAAGCAGTCGAGGCAATTGCGACCCAACAATTTCTGGCTCAAAAGAGCTCATGCCAACTCTTGTCGCCATTGCCGGAACTGCCTGGTAGGTGGTGCGTGGAAATGGGCTGGTGTTACAGCGAGGGCTGCTTTGAATCCGCCGGTCCTGTTGAGCCCTGCAAGTCGGTGCAGGACCCTGCGGCTTCTGAGATGTTCTGTGCAACTGAGCTCACCCAGCATGATTCATGAGGTGCAAGGCACAAGAATTGACCAGTGGCGCAGGATGGGTGTCGGCAAGGAGTGGAGGCTTGGGCCGTACAATAAGTGGCCCAGTTCCGGCATGCTAAAAGTTGGACATTTCTGGCATGCGGAGCTTTCTTCACGAGATTCTGGTAACTTCAAGGGAGCATGTCATGAGACTGAACATGGTCCAACTGCTCTCGATATACAGCTCCTCGGCTCCGCAGGTGATGTGCTTGCGAGAAGGCCGATGGCACCTCAAAGACTGGATGCAGACGTACCCGGATCTTGCATTTGGGGCTGCCTGTCTGTCCTTGGAGTTTCTGTCATTCTCGCGCACACATTGTCACACAAATAGCTATTGGTAGCAATGAACACGCGAACAAACCAGCACGAACAAACACAAGCAAGCCTAACCATGCACACACACACACACCCAAAAAAAACACAAACACAAACACCTACACAAACACAAACACAAACACAAACACACACACACACACAGACAGACAGACAGACAGACAGACAGACACACACACACACACACGAACGAACGAGCACAAAGATACAATGACTCGCAAACAGCTCTACACACAGATGCACACGTGCACACACACACACACAGAGACAGAGAGGCACACACACACACAGGCACAAACACGCAGAGACGCGCATACACGCATACACCTGTAGGCTGTAGACTCATCATTGTTTTATGACTTCTTGCATGCTGGAAGGCACATGAGAACCTATGAGG